ACAAAGAAATTAACGTTTTTATCTTTTGAAAAAAAAATATATATATATATATATATATATATATATATATATATATAAGCCATCATGAGTCAGCTTTGCAGACGGCAGTATCGTACCACCAATTATTTGGATTTTGACGAAATTTTAGGTAAATGTCAAAGTCAGACCCTAACAAACGTGTAACAAGTACAACTAAATCAACCTATACATATGTTTATATACATAACATTGTCAAAGTCATTCAGAAACAAACATGTGAAAAAATACAACTAAATTAATCTATACATATATTTATAATATGTATTAGTGAACTTTATAATATAATTTTGTACCATATTATATACAATAATTTATCAATTGAAACCAACAAGGATGTAATTTTACCAGTACTTTAATAATTATTTATAATTTTATGAATATATTACGAATTGACGGCGATTAATATATAATATTTTATTTGATAAAATTAATAACTTAATAATTTATTAATGTATTGATATATGCGCAATAAATAAATTGAATTTAGTTTAAAAGAATAATTTATTTAAAAAAAAAATAAAAATTATGTCAACTAAATTATATATAATATACAATATAGGTGCAAAATTACAAAAGAGGGTCATAATCAGCCAACTTGGATTTGATTAAGATTATGGTAAAAGTATATGTGACATTTTATAAAATTTCATAAAATAAGAATATTGCATGTAAGAGACAATATTGGTTGGTGAAGGAAAAGTTTATAATTGTGTCACACGCTCCTTAATCAATTATCTCTGTTTATATTATTTGGAAGATATATATGTATATATATATATATATGGGTTTTTTAAATTATAAATTATAAAATAAAATTGTAATTTTCTTTAAAAAATAAGAGTTGTAATCAATTGTTTTATAAAAAAAAAAAAGTAATTAATTGGTAATTGATACACATGATTTTGTCCAAAATAATGGAGTATTTTAATAGTCTTATAAAATAAAGTGTAATGAAATTTGATTTGTCCAAAAATTGCGGGACTTTTATGTTGAGAATTTGATTGTTGTTAAATTAAATTTTGATTAATCTAATCTTGTCTCCCATATAAATTTTGAATTTCTCAAAAAAAAAAAAACCCAATAAATAAATTTTTTAAATTTGATAAAATAGATAATAATTTTTTTTTTAATTTTTTTTTTTTTACTGTGGTAAAATTATTAGCAGGCGTGAGTGGGTGGTGGGAGGCAGATGTTGGGGGAAGTTCCAATTTGAGTTTTGTATTTAAATGCGTTTGCTTTTGCTTAAAAAAGCTTCTTTGCACGTTGTGGGGCACTTGGCCTTGTCCATGTCTCACCATTGGTTTTGTTATTTTCTCTCCACAAACAAATTTTTTAATAGTGGTTTTATTTAAAGTTATAATTTTTATGTTTTTTTAAGTAAATTTTCTAATTTTTTTCTTAAAAAAAAAAGAATTTTTTTAATATCAATAATAGTAATGTATTGATATATGGGTTATAATTCACGTTAAATAAATTATTTATTTATTTTTTTTTAGTTCTCAAGGAAGTAAAAATTTTGGTCTTGTGATGTATATAATAAGGAAGGTAAAGGACTCGTCATTGGAGTAAGAAAACAAAACATCCGGTTCCACTACTCTTTTATCTTCTTCCTCAGTGAACCCGATTTACCATTCTTAATTCTTGCATAAAAGACTCTACCTTTTCATAATTATCTGAATAATTTTCAGCCGAACAGGAAATCTGAAAATCCAAAAATTAACATCTGATGGGAATAAATCCGTCCAAGAAACGCCTCTCTCTCTTTCTCTCTGTCTCTGTCTCTGTCTCTCTTCTTTTAAATTTTTTGGTGAAGAATCCACCAGAAGAAAAAATAAATAAATATAACGAAAGGGTATTTTGGCAGGCAAGGTAAAACTAGATATGATCATGGAATCTAATTTGAGGAAGGGAAATTAAATAAGTGGGTGAAAAGATACCATGATTGCAAGCATCTTTACTCTACACCCAAATGAACACAGTGATTGATGATGTTTTATTATTTGCTCGTTTTATTCTCTCTAACCGAGTCATAAAGCCGCCAGCTTCTGCGTCTCGCAGCGTCGCAAACGAAACAAAAAAGATCACCTTGATGGGCAGTCTGATGCAGTGAAAAGTTTATCTATGTGTGTTTTCTTTTTCCCACATCAGAACTCCTCAGCCGAGATCAGAATCAAGGTACTAAGGATTTTTATTTTTATTTTTATTTTTCCTTCTTGGGTTTTGATTCTGGAATCGAACTGTGAAGAAACGGAATTTTGTTTTGATGGGTTGTTGTTGAAGAATTAGAAGAAGAATAAGAAGCAGAGTTTCTCGATGTTCTTGAATGTGTTGTTTTTATTTTGGGTGAGGATCAGCTGTTGATTTTTGGAAGTTGGAAATTCAATTGAGGCAAATTTGTTGATATGCCAAAGCTGTGTTAGGAAAGGGGTTTGCCGTAAATCTGTTATTATCATGCAGGAGCTGATATAATTTTATGAAATTTGTAATTCTAGCAGAGGGAAGAGAGAATTTTCTTTTATGGAGAGTTGGTGATTGTTTAGAGAATTTTTGTGGCTGAGCATACAGAAAAAGGGTATCGGATTTGGATTTTGGGGGGTTTCATTGAAGTTTTATTGATAGTGAGCTTAAATTCTTATATATAACCATGGAGAAACAGAGCTGTTCTAAACCGCCCACGATGGAAAAACAACAGAGTTTTCGCGGTATATTGGTAGACAAGCAGCCGGTTAGTAGAGGAGTCATGGAAAAGCAACAGAGTTTTCGTGGTCTGACAATTGAAAAACAGCCAAGTACTCGCGTAGTGATGGAAAAACAGCATAGTTTTCGCAACCTAGCAACAGAAAAACAGCCAGGTAGTCGTGCAGTAATGGAAAAGCAAGTAAGTTTTGGGAGGACAATAGAGAAGCAGAAAAGTTTTCGTGGGTTTATGGAGAGACAAAAGAGCTTTCGTGTAGTGATGGAGAGGCAGTTGAGCTTCATAGGGGGTGGTGAGAGGAAGAAGAAGAATGAATCACCAGGAAAACGAGGAGATTCACCGCTTCACATGGCAGCTCGAGCAGGGAATTTGAGTAGGGTTAAGGAAATATTTGATAATTGCAATGATGATAATTTGAAGGAATTGCTATCTAAGCAGAATCTAGAAGGGGAGACTGCCCTTTATGTTGCAGCTGAAAATGGGCATGCTTTGGTCATTGCTGAAATGTTGAAACATATGGACCTTGAGACTGCATCCATCACTGCCAGGAATGGCTATGACCCATTCCATGTTGCTGCAAAGCATGGTCATCTCGGTAGGAGTTTAATCTGCTTTGCATTTTGCAATTAGTTACCTCTAATCTTTTTTAAGCATTTTTTACTTTTTTTTTTTGAAATATTTTAAGCACTTTACTGGTAATCTCTTCATGAAAAATTTATATACTGAGGCCATATTGATTCAAAATGACCTTGTTACCTTATATGTCCAAGCATGTAGTTAGTTCAATTGGCATAGATGTAATTAACTGAATTTGGGGTATGGTTTCTTCAGTGAACCTACATGTGCTTGACCACAATCATGTTTCCTTGTATCTTGTTATCATGCATTTCTGTGACTGAAAAATAATCGAAGTGCTTTTCAGTAATGCTCATTGTTCCTCCCTTCGCATCAAATGTTCAATATATGAATATATTCCCACAAATTCTCTCTATCCCTGTGCAATTTGCCGGTCACTAGATTCATAACATAGTGATACATTTTCCTTTTTTGATCTAAATAGCTTTTCTCCCATTGTATCTTGTATATCATATAAATATATTTATTCCATTTTAAGTCCTAACCTGTATATCTTTGCAGAGGTGCTGAAGGAACTCCTAGGAAAATTCCCCAACTTGGCCATGACAACGGATTTAGCATGTACAACTGCATTGCACACAGCTGCCACACAAAGGGCATATTGATGTAGTCAATCTTCTTTTAGAAACAGATTCGAACCTAGCTAAGATAGCAAGGAACAATGGTAAAACTGTGCTTCATTCTGCAGCAAGGATGGGGCACCTGGAAGTGGTAAAATCCCTGGTAAGAAAGGATTCCAAGCACTGGTTTTAGGACTGACAAAAGGGACAACGGCACTACATATGGCTGTGAAGGGTCAAAATGAAGAGATAGTTTGGAATTGCTAAAACCTGATCCCACAGTTTTGAGTTTGGAAGATAATAAGGGAAACACAGCACTCCACATTGCTATAAAGAAGGGTCGTGCTCAGGTTCGTCATCATTTATCTGTCGCTGAAATTACCATTTCCTTTTTGTTTTCATGTAATATGAGCTTCTGATTATTTCTGCCTGCCTAGACAAAAAATTTACATGCATGGTCAAATGTGGTAGGGAAGTATACGTTCTCTGTGATTATCAATATTTACTTACATATAGATGTTTATTTGCACGTGCATAAGAAAACATGTTCTATAGGTTGCTTGGTTTTATTTTTGATGCCAATCACAGATCTAGTGTTGATTTTGACATTGTTGAACTGTGTCAAATCTTGGTTTTCTGGAGGGAAACAATTATCTATTCTCACAAAAAGAAGATAGTCTCAATTCATATCTGAAGGATAAAATTTTTGTTTTGATCAAATATAGCAAATATTTGTGAACCAAGTACAAGTCAGATTGATGCTGAATCTGCCTTTTAGATGCTTCATTGACTGCATTTTAGGGCTTAAGTAAATGATTGATTTGTTTAAATGCTGAAAATCTGCTAGTTGAGCCCTTACTTTTATTATCTCAACAAGCTATGAACATTCATTTAAGTTCAGATCTAATAGTCCATTCCTTTGCCCTTTAGTCTTGATGTCAATGGAACAAACTTGTAATTGAATCACTGGACCTCTCTGGTCTAGGATTGATATTCCATTTGTGAACTATACTAGAAAGTGAGTTAGTTCTTCGCGAGGAATGTGATTAAACAGGACAAGTTGGGTCAAACTTGTTTTAGAGACTCCACTAGGAAAAATCTCATACATGTAGCTTAATACCATACTAAACCCAAAAACGTAAATCGAGAGTCACATAGATTATTTATTTTTCCACCACTTACTTTTCTATTTAAACACCAACGAGTGATTTAGTTCTGTTGTAGGACACCTAATAACATGTAAACCTCATAAATATCCTACTTTCACATGTAATCTTCCATTGGATCATTTCTGCAGTCCTCCTAGTTCACATCATAGTCCTAGCACACCTAGAGAGTCACTTGCTTTCTGATTGGAGCCACATAGAAGTCCAGGATACCCTTATATCAATCCCAGGACCCATTTGGTTCCTAGCTGATGGCATGTCCTCGAACAGTCCAACACTGGACCGCATATGACCGGGAGTCTTGATATGGTCTTCATAAGCCCAAAGTGAAGCATGCACCCTTATTTAAGTTGTTGCCATGAAACAATGAAGTTGAGGGGTAACTTTTATTACAAAGTCTTTAAAATCCATGTTAATAAAGTAATAAGAACAACATTTGATCCCAAAAGCTTAAGCCCTTAGATTCTTGGTCTACCACTATATTCCCGTCCTTCTTTCAATGGCGTACTCTTCTTCCTTAAGTTTTCTTTCATATGGCAACCCTCAATTTTGTTTCCATTTATTGCAGATTGTGCGCTGTTTATTATCAGCTGAGGGCATTAACATCAATGCCATTAACAAGGCTGGAGAGAGCCCACTTGATGTTGCAGAGAAGTATGGAGGTCCAGAGCTTGTTGCAATTTTGAAGGAAGCTGGGGCCAGCCAAGCTAAAGACCTTGGAAAGCCCCCAAATGCTGCCAAGCAACTTAAGCAAACTGTCAGCGACATAAAACATGAAGTTCAGTCCCAACTCCAGCAATCCCGTCAAACTGGAGTGAGGGTCCAGAAAATTGCAAAGAGACTAAAGAAGCTTCATATTAGTGGTCTCAATAATGCTATCAACTCTGCAACTGTTGTTGCTGTTCTCATTGCCACAGTTGCTTTTGCTGCTATCTTCACTGTCCCTGGTCAATATGTCGAGGACGAGACAAAGGGTTTTTCGCTTGGGGAAGCTCACATAGCAAAGAAGTCCCCGTTCATCATATTCTTTGTGTCTGATAGCCTGGCATTGTTCATTTCCCTTGCTGTCGTTGTTGTTCAGACATCTGTTGTAGTAATTGAACAGAAAGCAAAGAAGCAGCTTGTTTTTGTGATTAACAAACTCATGTGGCTTGCATGTCTCTTCATCTCAATTGCGTTCATTTCTCTCACATATGTGGTAGTTGGGAGAGAATCTCAGTGGCTTGCTATTTGTGCGACAGTGATTGGTGGTACAATCATGCTCACTACAATTGGCTCTATGTGTTATTGTGTCATTTTACATAGAATGGAAGAAACAAAATTGAGGAATATAAGAAGAGCTGAAAGTCGCTCCCTTTCTTTGTCTATGTCTGTGGCTGCATCGGATCCAGAGATTCTTAACAGTGAGTATAAGAGAATGTATGCTCTTTAAGACAACTGATTAGGAAGAACCCGAACTGGTATGGGAGGATCCAGTCGTACTCCTCTGTAAGTAATATGGAATAATTGTCTACTGCTCCCGCTCTAGTTATTATCATGTGATTGTAAGGACTTGAGCTGAGGTGTTTCACAAACCTGTGAATGTGAAATGAGGAAATAGGCTCCTGGCGAAAAGGCAATGAGAGGTGCTCATGTTGTTAGATATCCACTGCTTATATATATTGCAGTTGAAGCTTCATTGCAAGAGGAGACTTGCTTTGGTTTTCCTCATCTGATCAGTTCAGTTCCATGATATTAGCATTAGCGAGGAGCTCAGGTCAGGATGTTCATTTTACTTTCATGCCGATTAGAAACTTGAGTAGCAAAGTTCCATAGCTATCTGCTTCAAAAATTACTTATATAATAAATCCATTTGATATGGAGATGTAATACCATATTCTGTTTATAATGAATCTAGAAGAGCCTTTTCCGAAGGTCTTTTCTCTGTGCTTACTTATTAGATCTCTTAAATATTTTATCAAACTGTATTAGATGTTTCTCAAAAAAAAATAAAAATCACTGATACTTTTTGTAATAAAAATTTAAATGACTTACTAAAATTTAAGGTTGACCCACAAAATTTCTCTTAGGTAGGGTATCCTTACATTATCTAGTTATCAGTATACTTGAAAACCTAGTTAGTTACCTTAAAAGAAAAAAGTTTCCTAGTTCATGAAAATAAAGTAGGAAGAATGGGGAGATTGCCTCCAGGACTCAAAAGAAATGTATTCTATAGAATATCAACCAATCTGGTGCCTTTTTACCCTCTTTTACAATCTTGATAGAACTATTTGTCTATTACATTATGCTTCAAGCACAAAGCTTGAAATTGAAATAATTAGAATGAAATTCAAAATTTCATATATAAGAAATGATGATAAGCAAATCCAACCTGCCTTAACATGATCCAAAGCGGCAACCATGACTGACTAATATTTACATCAAGATGCCGAACAGAGTTATCTACCTCGGAAACTTGGTGACCTGGGTAGTCCCATATTTTTTCTGCACTATAGCACCAGTCCTTGGTTATTTCCATTTCTGGGGTCATCAGCCTTGTCTGAATTAGTGCTGAGTTGACGGAGGTCAGACCGATGAACTAAACCTCCGAGGTTCTTTCTGGAACCAGATTTTGAGTTACTACGAAGTGTCTTTGCTGAGAAGCAGTGTCGCACGTGGATGCGGTGATTCACTGTTTCTGTTGAGCAGTTGCCTTGGACATTCACAACCAAAATAACTTCCTTATCCCGGGTGTCTTCACACCACCAGTTTTGTGGAATGCCGTCAACGAACTCTTCTAAGGTATGAAATTCTTCATGGTGCACCGCGACCTCCACAAAATAATCAGATGGGATCATGCCAGCAGCTGGTGTGACCTAAATTAAACAGAATGCATAGAGATGATTACATCTTAGTGAAGAGAATTAATCAACCTTAGATTCAATTTGGTTC